TATATATATATATATATATATATATATATATATATATATATATATATATATATATATATATATATATATATATATATATATATATATATATATATATATATATGTATGTATGTATGTATATTGATATATCTATATTGATATACAGGTGCAAGTACATATAGACACTCCTCTTATTATTATTTCTAAAGATATAGGTTTATTTTTGTTTCTCGTTCGAGTGGCACGTTACAGCATTTCATGGCATATCATCCTACTTCTCAATTTTGCTTTCGTTGTGTAATTGCTGGTTCCTGTTTGTTTCAGGCATTAATACCACTACATGGAATGTCTCCGTGTCTCTCGTATTGACCTGTTGACATTTCTCTGCACAGCCGTATTTCAAATAATTGCAAGCCAGCAATTTATACCATCTTCCAGTCATTGCAATCACTATAAGAACACAACCATGCCTTATATCTTTCCCAAGTATTCCCATTTAACTCTTCCTTGTTTCAGCCATTAGTCAGCAAATCGCCAGTCAGCAACGTATGCCATGCTCCAGACATTGACTTCACTGCATATAATTGACACACAGCCCTATATCATTCTCACATGTCTTGACATATATTTCTTTGCTTTATGAAGCCGCTATTCAACAAGTCACAAGCCAGCAATGTATACCGACCGCGCAATGTTGAGAACGATATGTTAGGAGATGATGAGCTGAACAAGTTGCGTAAGGGCAAATTCACCGCCGACAAGGGCTTCGAAGGCGCTGATGCCTCTGCACCCCGCGATGGTATGTGCCTGTACTCATTCGTGTAACTGTTTTGACTGGTGCAGGTTATAGTATGGATATAGGGATAGTTACCCTGATTTTAATTTTGTACGTGTGCGCATGTGCTTATCTTTAGTGCTGAGGATGGTTGGGATGTCTCTGTAGTCGTTTCGTTAGCAGTTCGGTTGTTGAGTTGAATGTAGAGCAGAGAATGCGTGTACCTGTACTTGTTTGTGGATCTGTTTACTTGAAACAATCCATATTGCCGAAGTGGGTGGTATGTACCTGTACTCTCCTTTGCGTATCAGTTTTGCCATAGTATGAAAGTGGGCTGGCATGTCGTGTCTCCTCCGCTGAGCGCGAATGCGTTCCTACTTCTATCCATTTAGCATATATGGGGGTGTACTGAAAATTCAGGTGAATATATCAAGCATGTTTCTCTATCAACGTGCGTTTCTACATGGGCGCCAGCTGCGTGTTACCGTTGTGTAGATCTGTTGGGAGTCTTTGTTAGTAATGTCAGGTATCAGCGCGTGCCTCCTGTCTCATGTACACACATCTTATCCGTTTCCGTTTCCGTGTCCGTGCCCGGCCACTTAGCGCTGCTGGTAATTACACTCGCTCTCGTCACAATTAAATTTTATTTTTTTTGCGTTTATGTTCGCCGCACGTATTGGCTGTGCAAGTCCTGTTTCTTATTTGTTGCTGTTCAGAACTGATCGTACTTAGGCCTCTGTTGGTGGTATACCCTCAATCCAGTCGTTGCCATCTCTTGCACTCCATCTGCGCTTTCGCTGTATGGCTCCTATTATGCTAATAACGGCATCTCCCTTTCTTCTGCTCAGCATATGCTTCTCTCTCTGCGGTTGATTCCCCCTTATCCATACTTACAATCTCACTCCTGCGCTATATTGTTAACGTGTTTCATGTCTCGTCGTTGTTCGCTACAGGCCCTGTACAATTCGAGAAGGATGAGGATGATGTGTTCGGATTGGATAAATTCTTCACAGATGCCAAGAAGGGAAAGGCCTTGGACAACATCGGCAACGGCAGCTCGTTAACGGCTGGTTCATCGTACGTTTATCACATCCTGTCTTGGCTTATATATCTCGCTATGCGATCCCGTTGTGTTACCCTTTTGTGTCGTGTATATATCCGTTGATTAATTTTCTGTCCTGTATGGTACGTATACAGTTGTTATTCCTTTTTTGCTTCCTTATGACATCTAGGTCACATAATCACATGTTTGCACTATTTGGCATATAGCATGTATATAGCACTATGCGTCCATAGCTACTCGTCGACTGCCTGTACAAGAGGGTCCAATCGATTGCAAGTATTTCCAATAGCAACATGTTGCTCTTCTTTGCGCCTCCATACTTCAGTCACACCCGCTGGCGCTAATATCCTTGCTTTTCCTTGTTTTATTTTGGATCGAAAACATACCTATCTCTCCATCAATTACCCTCTTTTCTCTTATTTGGTCATACATCGACATCAGTAACTCATAGCTAGCTATTTTCTCACGTCATTTTTTTCTTCCTTTTTCCTTAGATCAAACACGTCGACACTCAGAGAGGGTGGTAAGCGCAGTATAAACTTTGAGGGTGGGCGCGATGACGCCAAACGCAGCCGACGTTAGTATGATGGACGAATAAAAAATAATAATCAATTTACTATAACATTCTTGAGCCTCGCTTTATTTTTAAAACCATATATATATATATATACACACACAAACACACACACACACATATATA